AAGTAAACAATAAATGAAATAATGTATGTAGAAATAAATTTATAAAATATAAATATAGTGTAAAGGCTTCACTAAAGCATCTTCCCACACGCCCACGGCCCCGGGCTCTGCTCAGAGCACAGCAGGGATGTGGGAGCGTCCTCCCCCTTCACGACTCCTGACGTTACTCAGTGACCAGAGCGACACTCCAACCTCATTTCCACCTCTCATAAAGTCCTACACTCACCTGGTGAGCCAAGCATGCAGGCCTCCCAAAACCGTGAGCAGCCAACACCTGTCTCTCACAACTAAGCAACTCCAAATTGTCACCCATCCCCCCACCCGTGGGCCTCCTGCTTCCTGCAGCTGCCACTAGTAAGTGACTAACATCCTTTCCAAAGACCCAAGCCGTGTGAGAAGAAGCGCAGACATGGCACTGAAGGCAGAGGCCATCCAGGATTCTCCTCTCCAACCTCATTGTCTTAGTGGGTTCAGGCTGCTACAACAAAATACTATAAACAGGCAGTTTATAAGCAACAGAGATTTATTTCTCACAGTTCTGGAGCCTGGGAAGTCCAGTATGACAGCACCGGCAGATCTGGTGTCTATGAGGGCCTGATTCTCGGTCTTCTCACTGTGTCCTCTTGTGGNTTCTCCTCTCCAACCTCATTGTCTTAGTGGGTTCAGGCTGCTACAACAAAATACTATAAACGGGCAGTTTATAAGCAACAGAGATTTATTTCTCACAGTTCTGGAGCCTGGGAAGTCCAGTGTGACAGCGCCGGCAGATCTGGTGTCTATGAGGGCCTGATTCTCGGTCTTCTCACTGTGTCCTCTTGTGGTGAAAGAGACGAGAGTGCCCACTCGTGTCTTTTTATAAAGGCACTGATCCCACTCATGAGGGATCCACCCTCGTGACCTAAGCACCTCCCAAACACCCTCCTCCTAATGTCCTCGCATTGAGTGTCAGGATTTAACATGTGGATCTGGGGAAACACAAACGTTCAGCCTACAGCACTTATTGTACCACACAGATGACAGCCTCCAGAGTCACACCACATAGAACAAGGGACTAAACAGTAGAGAAAATATGGCAGATATGTCCCCTCTAAGTGGGCCCTGTCACTGGGTATGTTGGTTATTCGCTGTCAATTATGTGAACTCTCAAGGTCAGCCAAGCCCATACATACATCAAAGGAAACGGTTAATGTAGGGAAAGGATTGATCGGAGACTGGGGTCTCCCATGGGAGAACAGAGAGTCAGGGGCTGGGGCACGGTGGGACGACCATGTCCTAGAGCCAGAGTCAGAAGCAGTCACAGGGGCTGGGCTCGCAGGAACTGGAACATCTCAAGCGGAAAGATGCCGGCCATCTGAGAATCGGGCAGGTGGGGCTTGGAGAGAGGAGACAGTCACTGTGAGCTGGCCTAGTCAAATAGGGAGGCACAGCTGACTGGACAAAGGAAGACTTTGTTCTAGGGACCCAGCACCCAACTCAAAAGAGCCGCTGGCACCAGAGACCAACCAAGGAGCCAGAGTGAGACCACCCAGGTGGGATGGGGGCCTCTTTGGCAGTCCTGAGGGGCTGAGATGGGTGACCCTGCAGAGCTGGGCTCTGAGAAACCCCTCGTGGTCAGGACCTTGGCCGGGAGAGCCTCCTGGTGCCTGCAGACAGGCTGTCAGCTTGACT